TTGTGTTCATATGGTTCTTACATTAACAAAAATCATAGAATTTTCGATTTTGTAACTCCCAATTAATTAATGATATGGGAGTTACATAAATTTTTTTACCTAAATACCCTTTTCAACTTTGTTCACTCATCTTTATGAAATTTTAAATTTAAAAAAATAAAGTTTTTATCATGATTAATCACAACCGTTTATTGAAAGATTGAATGGCCAAGATCAGTTAACAAAGTTAACACAAAAACTTTGGTTAACAGATATATATATATACTAGTGGTGTACCCGCGCGATGCAGCACGGGTGAATCACAATTCTGAAACATTAGTCTGACCTTGAATCATGCGTTTGTGTGCTTATTTTGCAAGTCGGATCAGTTTAGACCGAATCATAAAATAGCTAAAGCATGAATGGAGTAGTTTTTAAGGAATTAGAAATTAAAGGGGAAGGAGAGGAGGATAAAAAAGAATTAATAAATTGGGGGGGCGAGGGAAACAGTAACTGAAGAAGGCCCAGTTGGATATACCAAAACCAAATGCACCGTCTCATTTTCAAGATATGGACTATAATCCATAACACTTGGGCCATTAGGAGGAGCTGTGGCCGATGGACATGCAGTTCCATCCAGATTCTTGTATCGGCAAGCAATCTCTTTTACCATGAATGGCGTTGCAAGTGTATTACAGGAAGATGAAGGGATGGGGTGAGGGTTATATAGAAGGGAAGAGAAACAAGGGTTGGGGATCTGTATGAAAGAAAGAGGAGTAGCCGGAAAACAGAAGAGTGGCTTCCGGGAAGGGTTGGGGTAATTGCGGTGAAGAAGCTTACCATACGAATGTGATTGAGAGAGAGGGGGGATGCCACACGGTTTTATACAGGTATCTTTTGTTTCTACTGGAAGCCACTCTTCTCATAAGCCCTTCAAAAATCATTTCAAATTTGAAATCTAAAATTGGCAAGAGTAGAGAAGCAATGATCGGATACAGAAGAAAGAAGAAAAAAGGGGCCCAAATTGGTGATAATTAAAGTCGGATAAAGAGAAAGAAGGTTTGATCCAATTATGATTTGGTATTGGATGAAACACTTGTATAAATAACTTGTACATTGTGCATGATAATTTGTATTAAAGAGAAAAAGGGCATTGAAGAGATAAATTAAAGAGAAAAAGGCTCCACCTTTTAAGAAGTAAACATCATCATTATATATAATAAGTGGAATGAAGTAAAGCTGAAAATAGGGTATGGGAGCTTTTTCCGGAAGATGGTGGAGGGGTTAAATGCAATGCATCAATAAGTTGTATATTATATTTTATAACTTGTTCTTAAGAGTTTTTTGAAATTTATGCATAAAATGGCAGTATTTTGTGCCTTGTTATTTGTAATTAAGATAAGTGTCTAAATGGTTATATATGTAGTATATATATATATATATATATATATATATATATATATATGCTAGCTCTTAAAGCTTCAACACCTAATCATTATATAAATATATATGATCTTAAAGCTTCACGCCTAATCATTATATAAATATATATGATCTTAAAGCTTCAACACCTAATCATTATAATAAGGCTTCCATGCACATTAAATCTCCAGATTGAATTCACAAACAAAACACAGAGAATTGAGGATGAAGCTCAAAGTTTTGATCATTGGGGGTACTGGATACATAGGGAAAAGGCTGGTGAAGGCCAGTCTAGAACAAGGCCATGACACATATGTTCTCCAACGATCAGATATCGGGCTTCACGTTGAGAAAGTCCAGATGTTGTTGTCTTTCAAGAAGCAGGGAGCTCGTCTCCTCATTGGTTCGTTTGACAATCATCGCAGTCTCGTGGAAGCGGTGAAGCAAGTAGATATTGTGATATGTACAATATCTGGTAACCATCAACTCCTGCTTCAACTAAAACTTGTTGTAGCCATCAAAGAGGCCGGAAACATTAAGGTATACTCTTCAAATCATTTCAACAAGCGACAGCCAGGGGCTGCCCCTAGAACCCCGTAAGGGGGCGTGGCCCGTCGAACCCCGCCATAAGGCCCACCCAACAATCTAGTTCTAATTAGCTTACATGAGTGTAGTTCACGCCTCCTAACCTGTTGTATAGCTTAACAAGTTACCCCATATTCCCTTGTAAATCCAATTAAAAAAATAGACCCTAAAATCACCAACAAATGATTTTTGCCAAAGTTTTTATACAAATCATTGGGCATTTGGCTAACGTTAATACATATTTATTAGAGGTTTTTGCCGTCTGAGTTTGGTGCGAATCCAGCTAGAATGGGGGACGCAATGGAACAAGGAAGGGCAATCTTCGATGAAAAAATGGTGGTGCGAAAAGCTATTGAAGATGCGGGAATCCCTTTCACTTACGTATCTGCAAATTGCTTCGCTGGTATTTTTGTTGGAGGGCTGTGTCAAGTCGGCCGCTTTATTCCTTCATGGGAGTCGGTCGTCTTGTATGGAGATGGCAATCGAAAGGGTAAGCATGTTGTTATCTCTTACACTTTGTAACCTTTAATGAAATCCATATTCAAGTTGTGATCCATCGTATGTTAACACATTCGGGCTACAATTATGTAGCTGTATTTATGGATGAAGATGATGTAGCAGCATATACGATCAGAACCATAGACGATCCACGCACTGTTAACAAGACGGTCTACTTGAGGCCTCCAGCGAATATACTTTCACAACGGGAAGTTGTGGGAATCTGGGAGAAGCTCATCGGCAAAGAGCTCAAGAAGTCGTCTTTGTCGGAACAAGATATTCTCAATATCATGAAAGGTGACACCATTTCTCAATAACGCATTGATTGACGTTTCTGTGATGTAGTTGTTACATTCATGTTTTAATCGAGGGTCTGTAGTTGTTTCATCTTTTTAGTCGCTCATAATGATTTAGAAATGATGTGTTGCAGAGAAAGATTTAGCAGAGCAGGGAGTATGGAGTCATTGCTACCATTTTTTCTACCAAGGTTGCCTTGCGAATTTTGAGGTCGAAGATGATGCTGAAGAAGCTTTTCTTCTTTATCCTGATATCAAATACACTAAAATGGAGGACTACCTCAAACAATACATTTGATTGATTACAATTCTCGTTGCATATTGATATTGTGTTTGCTTCAACCGTGTATGTAATTAGTGTTTTTGTTTGAATTATCCGAAAATAAGGACAAGTTTGAGTTGTACAAACTTGGGTTCATGTCAAATTACACAAACGGGCACCGGTGCAAAGTCACGCCACTATTCGGCTAACACATCGGTTAGCGAGATGGTATGTTGTAAGTTGAATGTATTGAATGAGATGCATATGTAAGCGGACATGATTTTGAGATATATATATATATATATAGATGCTTGTTAATCGAGTAAATAGTATTAACTTTATAAACTCATTTGAACTGTTTATTTTGTGATCAACGGTTATGATTAAATGAGAAGGTTATAAAATGATGAAAATGGAAAGAAATTCAATTGAACTAAATGGAGGGAACTTTGAAACAAATTGTTTTTATTTTATGAAGATAAACATGTTTTATATGATTTTATTTAAAATTCATAGTGTTGTTTCATATATGAATTTTGATTGTTCCGATTTCTTTTATTGAAGTTCACAGGTGAAACAATGATTTTTGGTTAAAGTTTATAATGTTTTCGTGTATGAATATTGGTTGTTACAATTTTTTTAACCAAAGTTCATAGTAGGTGTGTTCAAAAAGACCGTTGGACCGTTCAAAAGGTTGAACCAGGTCAAAGAGGACCTTTTTTTGCGGTTCAGTCTAGTTTGAAAAATACTCAAACCGCTTGGTTCGTTCTGGTTTGAGGTTTTACCCTTTTTTTTTTATCAGTCTGGACCGAATCGACCTCCAAAAATACACACACACACACATATAACTATATTCAGTTTTGATGTTCTAGGCTCAACTTTTATGGTCTAATTAAAAAATTTCATCCAATAAATTATGTTTTTAGTTTTCATTTTCTCAATTGATCGCGTTATCTAAATAGATAAAATTCTGAAATTCGTCAAAAATCAAATCTAAAATTCCAAATCATTCTTCGATTTACTCAATGTTCGTCCAAAATTCAACTATCGTTGATGGATTTATTTAACTTTTTTTTTTCAACTTGTTCAATATTTTTTAATTTTATATATAAACATTTCTTTTATAATTCGGTATACTATTTCTTAGTAACATTATATTGGTAGAAATTTTATTTTGAATATAGATTTTTTGTTTTCTAAGTTTAAAGGACATAAGAGGCCCAAACCGGTCAGACAAAACCGCCTTTTTGTGGTTCAGTTTGATCGGTTTGGTCACTTGCTATCAAACTGCTCAGTTTGAAATTTTTTCTAAACCACCATTGTGATTTGGTTTGTAATTTCGGGATTAAACCATCTAAACCGGACCGTGAAACACCCCTAGTTCATATATAGGTGAAATCTGAAATCAAATGAACTAATTAAAAAAGTTTAAACAAAGTAAATTAGATAATTATATAAATGAGATAATTAAGATCGATCGCTCTCTCTGTGTATATGTATATATAGGTCGATAATAAAAAAAAACCATAAAAATGTTATAAACCCGTAAGAAACAATACAAAAAATATATTTTATTTTACATGATTTTTTCATAAAAAACTATAATTTAAGGTATCTTTTCACATATGTTTGTGTTCACATAATGAAAAAAATACATGTGTTCTCAAGTTTTGGATGGAAATAAAAAAAACAAAGGGAAAGAAAATAAAAGAAATAAAAATTTTTATTTGTGTTCTTCAAAATGAAGGGAAAGGAAGGAAAGAAATTGGAAGAAAATAAACTGGTATATTTTTGAGCCGGAGCGAAAGAAAAAGAAATATGTCAATTGTACAAATATACCCTTATTTATTTTATAGTGTAAAATAACTGATGGGTATACGTGTACTTTTATGAATATTTTTAATTGTTATACATTGTTTTATTCCATTTCCTTCTCTTTCCTCCCACATTTGGGAGGAAATCAACATGATTTTCATTTTTTTTTCCTTTTTTTTTTCTTCCTTAAAAACTCGAGAACACAAGATTTTTTTTCTTTCCCCCTACTTTCCCTTCCTTTTCTTCATAAAGAAAACTCGAGAGCACAACGTAAATCCTACCGGTTAATGAAAAAAACCATGTAAAATATTTTTAGATCGGTTCTAAACAGCTTATAACTTTTTCATGGGCTTCACTTGATTTTGCACCATATATATATATATATATATATATATATATATATACACACACACACACATAGTCAGTTTCATACGAGAATAAAAGAACATAAATGACTGAATCACATGTGATTTGTGCGCCTTTGGCTGCAACCTCAAGTCGCTTGCTCACCCTTGCATTGACCTGTTCCGTGATCACATGTAAAATCATATGTGATTTACATATGATTTGGCCGTTTTTTATTCTTTTATTTTTATTATGTTCTCATTTGATTCTCCATATATTTTTTTGAAATCAAATATGAACTCTAATCGTTGTAACCATCTTGTAGCTTGTGGATAAGTTTTTTTTCTTTGACCCGTTAAAGAAATCGGATTTTTTTTTCGAAATGGGTATCATATCAAGAATAACATGTTAAAATTTTATATAATTTGTTTCATCAAATATTAACCATATTTTAGACCATAGCTTTATTTACAATATTCATTTTATTTACCAAATTACCACCATAATTATTAGATTAAAAGTGATCAAAACTAAAATTCAATTAATCCCCAAATTAATTTCTAGAATATTAATGGTCTTTAGTTGAAAACACACATTTGCATATGTTAATATTAAATATATTAAAATATGAATATATACAAAACAATAAACCACATATAAAACCAACCACCCTAACACCTTAAATCTTTAGTTTAAACACACACACACACACACATATATATATATATATATATATATAATTAAAACCTTAATCCTTAAACCATCAATACTAATCTCTCATAATTAACTCTAATAAATCTCCAATCAAAGTTGTCCTTATCAATCAATTCTAACTATAGATGACCTAACCCTAAACCTAACTTTACATCACCATGGATTAACTTTAATTAATATAAAATAAAATGTATTTGAATTGAGAATTTTCTTATTAAAGACTCACCTACCACTTGAGAAAACGATCTACTACCAACTTGATCACATGCGAATGACGTGACGCACAACTCAATCTTATTGCCGGGTTGACCAATTATGGTATTGGTTTTTATTTATTTATATAAAACTAGTTTTAGAATACAAACAAAGTCGTGTCAAATTTAAAGAAAATATAAATGTTCGTTTTTATATAAATTTTTTGATTTAAAAGGTTTATTGAAATTAATATCTTTTTAATTTAAAATTTAACTATAATTAATATATTTTTGATTTAAAAATTTATTGTAATTAATATAATTTTGATTTAAAAAGGAGATGGTATTAATTTAATTAAAATTATATAATTTCAATAAGAAATAAAAAAGGAAGATATATTTTTATGCCATTTTAAGAGTAATGTTTGTATGTGAACGACCCTGTATATGCAAAATGTTACCTTCTAACTTTCATTATTGATTAAACTTGATTGTGGTTGAGATTGGTTATAATAATTTTCAACTTTTTATGGTTTGCATTTGATTTGTCTTCTATAGGGGGGTGTGTGTGTGTGTATATATATATATATATATACGGTTTTCATAGTTTGTACAAATGACTTGGTTTGCAGCACACATCTCCCCTCCCCCACACACACATGCATACATACATACATACATACATACATACATACATACATATATATATATATATGAGAGAGAGAGAGAGAGATATATCTTGCAAAGCAAGCCATTTGTACAAACTATGAAAACTATCGAGATACAATTAATTTAGTGAAAAATTTTCATTAAATTTATTAATATGATGAAATTGTTTCAAATAATTTATTTCATGACGAAAATGTTTCACATATATATATATATATATATATTTGAAGTATATAATATTTATATACGGCAAATGCAACAATAATAAACGTGAGACCAGGTTGTTTTTATGAGACCTGTGAGAAACTTCACAGTAAAAACATTGTGAAGGTTTAAAAAAGTCGAACCTTCACAGCAAAAACACTGTGAAGGTTACCTTCACAACATTTTGCTGTGAAGTTTCAAACGTAAAAAGCTGGTCTCACGGGTCTCACGAAAACAGACTGATCTCACGTGATCCCAAGTCTATATATATATATATATATATATATATATATATATATATATATATATATATATAAAAGAACAATAAACCACATATAAAACCAACCACCCTAACACCTTAAGTTTTTAACTTAAGCACTTCAATTGGCACTATTCATTAGAGAAGTCATCTCCTTCATTTAGAAGCTAACTTAAGAAAGAGACCATTTTAAGGGCTGAGAGAGAATAGCGACTCTCCTACTTGTATCTAGTTGACTACTATCGACAACCAATATTGATAGAATAAATCTTAAATTAATTATTATAGTCCTATCAATTGATTATAACATCATTCTGTAACTTCAAATCCTAAACCTAATTTCGTGTAATTTTAGGTGACGGATAACAACAGATGGAGTTCAAAAGTTTTTTGGTTTGATTTTTATGCACAATGAGGAGTCTTTGTTTTTGGAGTCGTAAATTGATGGACAGTGGGGAGTCTTTGTTATAAAAGTAGTTCCTATATAAAGTGATGGAGGTTCAAACGAAAACACCTTCATTTAATGAGAAAGCAAGAACACGCTTATCATATGTGATAATACACATTAGGGGACTTTGCCTTGCGAATTCGGTCACGCCAAAATTCTTTTGCGTCTATGATTTATTATTACATGTGATGGTCTTGATGGATTATAGTATCACATCAAGAACACCCTTATCAAATGTGATAATACATGTAAGGGGACTTAGTGGTGTAAGGACGATTTGGTCCGCAACCTAGATTGCGCCAAAAGTCATTTTCGTCTCTGATTTATCATAACATGTGTATCATTATGTGATAAAATAATAATATCACATGTGATTGTATATAATAAAAGGATATTCTCACATTCTTGTAAAATGAATGTATTCTCGTTTGAATCATTCCCCATATAAACATATACATATATATATATATATAGAGAGAGAGAGAGAGAGAGAGTTAAGCTCATATGAGAACAATAACCAAATAAAAAAAGAACACGGTCGAATTACATGTGATCTTAAACTAAATTACCTGTAAAATCACATGTGATTCACACGAATTTGATCGCGACCTCCGTTCGTGGCTGTATCGT